TACGACTACGATTACGACGACTACTACGACTACGACGACGACGACGACTACTACTACTACGTACTACGGCCGCCGTCGCTCCCATTGCTACCACCACGACGACTACTACTACGACGACTACTACTACTGGAATCAAGTTTTCCGGATGTCATCGACGTCAAGACTGTCTTCCACTGTAAATTCCGACATCGCACTTGCCTGCTTCGGGGCCGCAACGGCCTGGACGCCCTGTTCGATTTGTTTTGAAAACCCTTCTGCTCGCAGAGGCCTCCTGATAGTAGCGCATCCTAGTTGGGATGCTGTGGGATTTCGACAAGCAGCGCTGATTGCCAATTAAAGTACTGGCGCAAGCATTGTCATCCGGATTTCCGCCATCCACAAACCCGAGGCATGCACAATCACGATCAAACGTCAAACGTGTTTATCCGCATGAACTTTCAAGCCAGAACAGGAAGCGATGGCAGCGTTGGATGCACCCCGAGGTCCAAAGCATTGGGAGCGATGGCCTGGAGTGTTCTCCTTGCCCTGCAGAGCTCAGATGACACGCACAAATCCAGCCGCCGTTGCTCGAAACATCCTACAAACTCGACCTAGCTGAACTCTGCAAGAAGGCGTGTGCGGCGCTTTGCTCGTGAAGTACGTGCCGCGGCAGCTGGCAAATCGAACTTTATCGAGGTGGCGGGTGGCACGAAACAACATGCGGTCTAACAAGGTCATGAGCTCAAACGACCGCGGTCGAAACACTTCTGTGACCTCTGTGGTGCCTGGAAACCTGCGTGGACCGAGTCTGCGAACACTTCCTACTACAGACTTTGTGCTGTGCCGTCCTCTCATAACCAGAGGTCCCACTACGGACTCGTGACGGCCTTATGGGTTCGGCCTATCTGCTCCTGTTAAGTTCGCACAGAGATTCTTAATTGAGGCAGCTCAACCTGCAACAACCAGACGCGGGCAAGCCATTCCCATGCAACTGAACAACAGATGTTGAAATGCACTGTTGGGCCCGACTGCACGCAACTGCTTCTGCAGAACGCCGTTGGCAAAAATCTGTGCTCTGCTATAATGCACATTTCTGCGCTTCTGATGAAGAGGAGTTGAGACATGCTGGCGCTGCAACTTGTGCGCACATTGCTGAGGCCAGGCGCCTTCGTAATCCTATGAGCCGAAGGTTAAAGAAACCAATCGAATCCCATTGAAAGTTCATTCACAAAAACAAACTTGTCACGGCATTGCAGCTTCAGTTGCTTGCCCCACATAGACGGACTGAAATCGCGTGCGAAGGCACAGCGTTTACAACTCGTCGTGCTTCAAAGACCCAATTCGGTCCCGTGTCTGACTTCTAAACTGCAATCCGAGACGAACGTCTGTCTACACATGTCACAGGTGGTGAGCGGAGTTCATACTGTTGATGATATACATCTTGCATGACCTTAAGGACCCTAAACTATGGGAATTATGGCACATTTTTTAGTAAGGGTAATGCAGGATTTTGATCATCAACCGTAGTTAGGGTGTGTCACGGCTCCGATCTAGCGTGTTACATCATTTCATAGCACGAGCCTGCAAAGCATGTGAAGCGACGTTGTCTGTGTCAATTAGAGGCTTCTGCTTCTGATCGCGTCTATGTACAGAAATCGCTGGCCAGAGTCGGAGAATTCAGCGTCAACGATCCTCGATGAGGAGGGTGAAGATTACAGTACACAGCACTATTAGCAGTTCTGAATTCCCGAGTGTGGACGTCAGCAAGACTGAGCCATGACCTGTACAAACAGATTTGGCCTTGGGTGCGAAAAGGGCGGTGCAGCGAGACAAACGCTCTTTTCTCCAGTGCTGGATTGGCTCAACGCCAGAGACTAACTTCACTTCATGGCCACGTCCGGAAATTCCACCTTGGCTCTGAGGAGACTTCATTCATTGGTTTATCTCGGGAACTGTCACACCTCGAACGTATAGCCTGCTCGATTTTTCCAATTTGGCTTGCAGATGTCCTAAAACGAGCACTGTAGGCGGCATCCGAATGCAAAACTAAAGTCACTAAAGGATTCCTTAGACTTCGCATCCAAGTTTGACCCTGCTGAAAGCAATGAGCTTGGGCACGGTGGATGAGATGTCAACCTCATCAGCCCAACGCAGGCGTTGGCCTGCATCAAAGCGGTTCAATGCTTCAGGGCCGTAGACCAGCCCCAGTTCATACACTTTCACGTGAGGGCGACACATGGCACACACAACACCTGCGCCTGGGCGAGGTTGGCCAGCATCGCGGCGATGTATAGCCTGTGTGACAACACAAATCCATGAGTCAGAAAATGCTGGTAGTGCGCGCGTATTCGGTGCTTTGATAACAGCTGTGCCCGTTTGCTTCTCCAAGCTGAAAAACAATACACATGCCGGGCGCGCCAATGAACTTGGAAGCAGCTGCCGAGCTTTGGCTTCACCTGATCGACCATACAGACGCAAACTGAAACAGCTCGGTGGCCGGTGACTGCATTGAAGATGGGGATGCAGCAAACTGCGCACAAATCTTCTGCAGGCCGAAGTTCTTCAGGGCCTCGGTCAAACTCCAGAGACTCTGCGAAGGCTTGCAGTGGACGGCGTGAGCTTCCGAGACGTCTTTGTGGGAGTGACGACCGGCATAGCAACCTCTGCTGATGAATACTGCCACATTCTAGGGACACGGCTAACCCCTGCCGCACGTGCAAGCATCAAGGCCGACCGCAGCTTCACGATGCCTGACATGCCTCAGCACACCATAACAGCATACCCAAACCACGCTTGCAAAACGATGCAGGACGAGAACTGCCACGCCAAAGCAGCAGGACATGTAGTCGCAAAGCACGTCTCGGAAAAGCCAAGTTGGCTGATGCTCAGAGCTTTGCCATTGCAGGAGGCACTGACCTTCTGCAGAACCTGATAGCATAACTGGTGCCCGGGCAGTGCAGAACAAAGAGGGTAGTTGCTAATGGTACGGAGGGTCCTGTAGGCATGAGTGAAATGCTTCGATCTTCGAAGGTCATAACAGTCATAACATGTCATAACAAATAGCACTTTGCCTTATCAGCTATGCTTGGGCAAGTGCCACTGGAGGCACTGGAACTTAAGTCTTTTGCAGGCTTCGCCGCTCAGCTGCCTCCAGTGCTTGTCGCTTGCGCTGCTCTTTGCGTTGAGCGCAAACAGCGACAGCAAAGGCCACCTCTTCGTTTTGCGCGACAGGTTAACTACTCTCGTCTACATGCTGCATCACGTGATCCAGGTAGACTCGAGTTACGAATACACTTGCTAGATGCAGCGTTCCGGCGCAGTCATTTTCAGGGCCTCCTCGGCGGACACGCCTGCGTCCTGTGAGGTTAGAAGATGATAGTCGAAGTTCAATGAACCAGCCAATCTTAACTTCGCATTGATCGACTAAGTCTTGGTCGTGCCTGGGCTTGCAAAATGGCTGCCTGCAAAGGCTCCACATCGTCGGCCTGTCATGGTTGGACTCTGGGTTAACGAAGCACTTTTGCTAGCACAGCTGGAAACTAATGGCACCAACGCATGCTTGCCTCAACAGCCTCATGCAAGCGCTGCAGCTCCAAAACGCCTTGGTGGCATCTCTCATTTACATGTCTCTGTGTTTGTCAATTCTCGCCAGTCATAAACACGGCTGCCTTACAAAAAACCCTTGCTTCCCTCCTCCTCGTCGAATCCAAGTGACCTGGCGGAGAAATCGTCAGCTCGAGCAGGAGTGGTGCCTGAAATAAGTGCGAGTGCTGTGCGGCTAGGGCCAGGACACGCAGCATGTTACGCAACATGCGCAAGCTGCGAAATCTTGTCGATAATGATTTGTGTTTCCCCCAACTTGAGCTTTGCCTCCTCCGGTAAGGATGTGGTATCATCTGCATCATGCTCGAGGAGTTCTTCAGCAAATGCGACCTCGGTAGGTTGCGGTGCGACCGCAACGAATCGCGATATCGCGCCGCTAAACATGCCTCTTGTGGAGTCAAGCCCACCATCTTCGTAGGCCTGGGCAGAAATGGAGAACGGTGGCATCTCAGAAGAGCGCTGAGCGGTCTGTCCGCATATGGTCTCATCTCGGCTCGAAGGCGGAACTATCGCCGGACTGTCTCACAGTACGTGAAACCCAGCAAGCATTGACGACTAATTTTCTGGTACAACCAACCTTCGAAGCACTGCATCACTGCATCACGACAGCGCAAGTAAGGTATCACAATCGGTGAGTGGGACTCCAATGTTCCATGTCACACATTGGAAAAGATGGACGCATGGATCAATCACAGGATATCTCAAGCATGTAGTCTTTCCACATTTTTTAACACAAACACCTCATTGCAGTCACCAGTGTAAACGGTGAACACTCCCAGATCGACCATTGCCACGCTCCAGTTCACAACTCTGCTTCTAAGAAGTTCCACGAAGCCCCGAAGCCTTTCTCAACCTGCCCAAAGGCCCACTGCAAGCCGGTCAGGACACTTCCGAAAGGCTCCCATGATTGCGAGTGGGCTGGCCACTGCTGTGTTGACGCTGGAATCCTCTTCTGTAGAAGGCTTTTCTGGGCTTTGTGGGAGGCGACACACGTTTGGGGACTCCTCTCCCGTTGAAGGCTTCAAAGGGGCTCTGCGGGAGGCACCGCGCGTTTGGCGGCCCCTCTGCGGGAGGCAAGCTCGAAAACATTCCAGGTCGGGCTCATGACCAGCCGTGCAGGCTGGGGGTGGGCGCGGGTCGGCTCGACTTGCCATTCCACGGACTCCGCGGAGGTTGCCACATGTGGTACTTGGTACTACAGTTGTCACCGGTCGCTGTGCGCGTTCACCTCTTTCCGCCAGTCAATATTTGACCCCAATCAGTATCGCTCCATCGTGGCCAAATCTTTCTATTGCTCTTTCCTTCGCCCTCCGGCCTGCGAAGCTAGATCCTTTCCATGCCTCACGTCCTCCGTTCCCCTCACATCCCCTCGCCCTTCCCCTCCTTCTCCCACATCTTCTTTTCCTCGCTGTTGCAGATTCTGACTTCTACTGGCAATCTGTGTGCCGCCCCGACGATCGTCCCCGAGGCGGCTCTCCCGAAGCGGTTGATACCCTGTCAGTACGTCCTCATTTCCTGAAGAATCCCTTGTCATTGGAGCAGGAACTTGGCCTGGAGCTGTGATGCGTGCAGTGACGGTCAATCGTCTGCGTTTGTTCCATCTGATAGATCATTCCCCCGATGAGCAAGCTTCATTCTATATGCTAAAATCTCATTCAGCGGGATGGTCGTTCTCTGTTGCAGTGCAATATTTTCATGCAGCGCTGTGCAAACCTCCCGTCACCCGTCTAATCTCTGTCCTTCTCAGATTTACAAGGTCTTGCAGGGGAAAGGGCATCATGTCTGTACGAAAACTGTTCAAGCAAGACTATCAGCATCACACTGCTGACACAGCTCGTCAGACCGGAGTGGCTCCGGGTCTTTGGAGCTGACGTCCGCTACCATGCGAAATTCTCTAAGCGCAATCCAACACAACACCTTTTGAAGGAACATGACGACATCAAACCAACATATAGTGACATATACCAACCGACCCCGCCTGTGCACAGGACTTTGGGGGCCGACTTTGGAGGATGCTTGGAAGACCCGCAAGGCTGCCGAAACATATGAGAGACATGAACGAAGTGTGTTTGTTTTCTACTATTCCGTTTGGTTCACTGACTTGCGTTTGTCGAGTGGCCAGCACGAAGTAGCGCGAATCTGCCAGAGATGTCTGGACGTTTTTTACTAGCCCAAGCCACTGGGTAGACTCAGCGGCAAATCCTTTCTTGCTGTTTTGTGATTGCAGAAGTCTCCTGCTTCTCTTAGCACGATGGTGAGACCACGGGCACGTGGGGCGGCTTTAAAATGGCGGTTGACTCGGTTCTCATATATGTACTGATTTTGAATGAATGAGTTGGCATAAGGAGCAAATGGACGGGCTGTGTATGTTTGCCAGGTGAACTTGTTCCTGTAGAACAACCAATTTTGCCTAGGTCCCCCTACTCTCCTCTTGCCAATGTGGAACATCTGGGCCGAGTTTGGCTGGCAACTTACTTGGCGTAAAGGGTCTTGCTGGGGCGTACGCATAATATGTCTAGCCAGCTTCGCGCGTTTTGCCATCAACATGTCTGAAAGAGTTTCACATTTTTGTCCACCTATTTCTGCACTAGCTCTCTCAATGACTCTTGCATTCGTATGGCTCTGTTTACAGAATATTGAATAAGTGGTATCCATTCCAAAAGAACTTCCGTAAGCCTCGCAGCTGGAATGCGTTAACTTTTGTTGGCATGGCCTGTGCCAGATGTACAGTTTCAAGCCCATGCAGCAACTTGGTCTTGATGATATCGTGCAAAGGGGTTATTGCATGCTTGCGTGCATGTTGTTATTATATGTTATTATAAGCGTGTCGTCAGCATAATACACTCTGTCAGAGTCAAGTCCTTCGAGCCGTGCATTGCGTGTTCTAGCCGTGATATTCCTGCTAATGTCATGATCAATAATGCCCATGACCAGAACAAACAAATACGGTGAACGAGGACAACCCTGTCTAATACATGAACTCTGACGTATTCAGTCTTGGATGCGCCATGTTCGTCTTCTACATAGAACATCATAGAACTTGCTTGCTGTTGGAAGAGCTGTAACACCAAGCAGAGCACAAACGGTTGCCACCTGCCGTTCTGCAACATCACAGGACATCCGCACAACATCAAACGACGAATGAATCAAATGATTACCGGAGCAAACCACGAGCCAGTCCTCTCTTCTAAACGCAGCTATAGTCTATAGTATTGTACGACCCCTTCTGAGGCCCACCACTCAGCCGACACCCTTTCTGCACAGTGGGGATCGGATCCTGATTGCAGAGATGATCCCGCACAGTGCACGATTTCACCTCTGACACTGCGAGAGGACGAGTGAGGATGCATGCCTACAACAGGAAAGAAGCATCGATTTGCTGATGCTCTGTGGCCGCATCTGCTGGGAACCCGTCTGAAATCCATTCTTTGGTGGATGTCCGATTTCGCGTAAGCTGCCCTTGGCCCAGCTCAGGGTTCAAGTGCAGTACTTCGCAGGCCCGTTGTTCTTGCCTCTACCGAACTTAGGCCTCCTGCGCAGGCCACGGCTTCAATGCGAGATCAGCCAGCGGTCGCAGTGCTCGTGCCAAACCTCCTCCAAGCCTCACGGTTTGCTTGTGAAAGGCGCTTGCTTCCAGCTCCCCAAGCACCAGGCGAGGCCAGCTGCGGTGCCTGTGGCCAAATCACAACTCCAAGGTGAGCACTGCATAAGCGTCGAGTTTTGTGCCATGAGCAAGGCTCAACACGCCATGTGAGCCTTCGGAGGACCTGCAAGTACCACGAAGGAAATGCTGAGCAGCACGGCAAAGCCTCAGTTAGTCTTTCTCATTCCGTTTAGGTGGCCCCCGCTTCTTGGCATCAATGCCTGTCCTTCCGGAGAGTTACATGAATTCGATGTCGTGCACTTGACAGCACACGAAGCGCAAACTATGTCTGTGCTCATTCTGTGCTATCCGAAGGCACAGTCCAGCTTCAAGATCCCAGGGGCTAAGATGCATAGATAGTCCATGCCAGCAGCCCGCGAACATGTACCTACTGTCTCAGACATGGCAATGGGTTGCAGGATACAGCTGGATGTCATGCAAAAAGGCCCTTTTTGAAACATTTGCAGTCACCATCGGCCGCAGAACTATTGACGTGGGCACGGCGGGTGCATTGCAGTCCAGTGCGGTTTCCGGCTCAGGCTCAAAGGTGCAATCACTCGCCCCCATTAGCATAGTAGTTGTGGTCCGCCGGACAGCTTGTATGGCGCTCGCTGCAGAAGCCTTTGTCCATTTTTGTGCACATGCCTCAGGGGAACCAGAGCAGAGTGTGTAAACAGCCTTCGTGCACGGACGAAATGTGCGATTTGTAACCCCGTGCCTTTGTACGCGTCGCAAGCACGAGCGGAGCAGATGTCGACCACGAATGTCGTCTTGCCCAACAATGATATGCGATTCTTTTCAATCCTTTGAATGGGCGGTAGACTCCCACAGCTGGGTCTCAGGGGGCACTTAAAGAGTGTGCGCATGGAAGGACAGTGTTAACCCTGATTCAAGACTTCGACAAAGCCAGGACAGCCAAGAGTCATCTTGCACTTGCAGCACTCCTCCCCTCTGAGTGAGTCAACTGCTGCATTGTAGACACCTCGCAGCTTGCGCATAGGATCTCCTACCCCAAACCGATGGGTACACCGACGCTTCTAAAGCCGAGCTGCGGTCACGAAAGCTGGCCAACCTCAGGAACTCGCATGGGCAAGACAGGTGCGCGAACCTGTAGAATGGGCGGAGGCACTTAATGAGTTGTTTCTCACGCCAAGCACGTTGTCGCTCAAGATCGCGAGCATGGTTCTTCCTCCTTGCCATCAGGCAAAGTCAAATAGTCTCCCAGAAGCAAAACACGCCCCATCATGCCCCAGACCCCAGCCCACATGGCCACGAGCAAGCTCCTCTGCTCGGCATTTAAATCCTGGATCAGCTTGTCACCTAACGGGGAGACACAAGGCTGAGCTCTGTCTGTGGCCTGTGCTTCCAAAAAACTGTTGTGCCACGGACCTATCATGCGCATCATGTTATCGTGCTGACTGTCCACGCGCTTTTCTGCTGGTCGCAGCAGATGTGGCCATAGCTGTCATTTGCATTTGAGCATCCGCTTCTTGCTGCGTTATGTCTTTGCCCAACATCCCGGACTGCACCACCGCCTGCAACGGTTTGCTCAATTCAATAGATTCAATGCACGTTGGAAACTAGAGGGAACAGCATGCTCGCACCAAACCAGCAGACTGCCGGGTAACCCTCCTTCAGGTCGTTCAAACACACCTTCTTGTGCGCGATGCTGCAACTGTCGTAGCACTCATCGGACAAACCTTCCAAGATTGTAACCTGCTCAGAAAGCCATTGCGTTTCACACACAGGCATGTCATTACAAGTATGATCCTACTGCCGTACTTTGCATGCAACCGATATGAAGTCGTCACGAACTCACGCTCGCCCGGAAACATTGAACCCTGCCTGCCGGCGAAGCTGCTTGATTCTTTCTTCGGAGCTGCCTCCGTTCTTGGGACGGGCATGTTTTTGTTGTTTGTGCGGTTATTGGTATTACCACCTACCGCCTATACCACCTACCGCCTAGCTATACGGCTGCTACTACAACAATTACTACCTACTACGATCACTACCACCACTACTACTACTACTACTACAATTTACTACAAATACAACAACCACAACAACAACTACTACTACTACGACGACCACCACCACCACCATGACCACCACCACTGCTACTACGGCTGCTGCTACAACTATTTCTCCTCGTACTACTACTACTACTACTACTACCACTAATAATAATAATAATAACAATAATAATACCGCTACTACGACGACGACGACTACTGCTACTACTTCTACGACGACGACGA